GCCTCCAGTTGTTTATACTGTATCCTGGACAGCTGCAGTGCATTGGGTAGCATCCAGCAGCCTGCATAAAATCTGTGTCACTATTTCAAAAGTTATGTTAGATTTTTATATTCAGATTAAATTACAACCATTAAAACACATCTATAAATTTGGATCATTCCTATGAGCAGCTTAAAGCAGCCACACCAAAAATACATGGTTTGTCATTACATATATGGATGATTAAAAAATAAGCTATCAGGGCCATTATAAAAATAATCTGTCCTTCAATAAAGTTATAGCAAAACCTAACAGGAATATATTTTTTACAATCCTAAACCTATTTTCTATTAATGTGTACACAGCTGTGCTTTTTGTTTCAAATAAGCTGTTGTTATTGTGATAATATGTAAATGTAAACATTGTATGATCCTTTTTAACCCTGTTACAAGACTCCACAAAGAAAAAGAAAATATTTGGGCAGAAACTGCACATATGCAGGATGCTGATGGGGATTTTTTAATATGTCATTAAATTAAGCATTAATTTCTGCATGTTTTGCTCCTATGAATTTAATAATAATATAGCACATGCTCTCCTTGAGCTCCGAGGAAGTCGGAGCGCAGCAAGACGGGAGGAACAGCGAAGGCTGTAGACTTTTGCAGGTAGTCTGGAGCGGTAACAGAGGATGTGGGATTTCAGGGAAACGGTGTAACTGCGTCCAGCCGGCTGTGATAATAAATGTCCTCGTTTGTTTTAAAACTGGTGCATTCTGCTCCTCATCTATACGTTAACAGCTGTTTCTGTGCGCAGCATTGCTGGCGCGCTCTTTCTACCATAATGACAGTCTACACGCAACATTTCCCCTTCATTCATAAAACGGTAAAATCGAACACAATAAAACATGGCTAACTAAACACTTAACTTAACTTTTGGATCAATAAAGTACTTTTTATATGAATCTGAAGTGAACACTGTTGTGAAGCACTTTACACAGCATACTCACCAGCGATTTTAAATCCTCATAGAAAAACACATTCCAACCATCAACGAGCACTTCTGGCTTTGTTTTTCCATCATAAATCTGCAAAGATATGTACACTTGGTAATCCAGCTAAAGAGCTTTGAATTTACTTTAAAAAAAAATCTCTTTCCAAATACCACATAAAGAGCAGAAAAGTTAATTTTAGAGCATGTTATTGTTCGTACCTCTTGGAGCACTGGGATGACAGGTGGGTTTCTCTGCTGAAGGAAGAAAAGCACCATGAGAGTATAGGCGTAGGATGAGAGGCTTCCACGCGACGCATCTCCAATATCGCAGATCTGAAATAAAGGGGACGGAGGCAGAAAACTTCAAAATGAGGTAGTGAACAAACAACAAATATTCCTTAGCCCACTAGTTATGTTTTGTTTACCTTTGCAAAAACCTTCATAACATAACAAAGGATCTTCACTCTTCTGTCTATGGCTGCATATGATGCGAGCAGGCGTGTGTTATAAAGAGCCTGAAGAAAAACACAATAAAAAATTGCTATTAATAGCTTGTCAATGCTAACTAATAGCATAGCTAGAGACAGGTAAATTCCTACCAGTGTATTGTAGAGGCTGATATCTCCCTCCAACCCAGTGTGAATATGGTAAAACTTAACAATGGGTACTTTAGCTGTGGTGATGGGGAGGATGTTCTTAAGGCCTGGCAAGAAAAAAAAAAGGCTACCAATTAGAAACTGCTTTAGCCTAAACCACCAATGGGAATTTGTTTTTATAAAGGGCCATACTTTCATTATATTTCTTTTTCAAATGTATACACCAGAAATAGTTTAGTGTTTTAATCTTTGTTTTGGTTAATTTAATAAATAAAATTATTATAACTAAATTTAGTACCTAAAGCCCTTCTGTGTACATATAGCATACAGTAGCAACACCAGGTTAGCAGAGGTATGATATGGTGCAGGTGTAATGGGTAAACAAGGAAGTAATGAGACTCAGAGAGTCAGCAACTCCCAGGAGAAATGTAAAAAGAAAAAGAAGTCCAAGATCCAATGTGAAGCAAAACCAACAAATATTTGATTTCAATAGGTAAGGGTGTCAAATAGCACTCAGGATACATTTGAACATTGTTGTTCACTGAACTTAGGGGTAATAGGTTTATTTTCTGCCAGAGCTACAAGAATCCAACACAATATACAAAATCCGATTAAATTCAGGTCTCCAAAACAGTAGCCTCGTGAGACCATCCTGATCTCACGAGCTTTCAAGGTTTCACTCGCAGATCAGTCTGGAGACTCTCTGTTAAAGAAAATTTCGAGCCGTTCACCAAACGAAGGTCCAATCAGCATTGGCTTTGAGGCGGGTTGAGGTGTGACGCAACGAGAAGCGTGACAGTTCAGTCTAAAGAACATGGCGGCTTCAGCCGACGAAACTAGCGTTAGCGTGGCTATCGAGCAAGTTTTATCGGAATTACAGAGTATTTCTTCACTGAAAGAAGAGCAAAACACTGCTCTGGAGGCTTTTCTCAGAGGAAAAGATGTTTTTGCTCTTCTCCCGACTGGTTTCGGCAAGAGTTTGATCTATCAATTGGCTTGTGCCTGGCTTGTGGTTGTGTTTTCGTCGTTGCTCTGTTAGTACGTCATATGCTTCGTTGATCTGATTGGTTTATTTGGCCCGTCTATCACCAACATAGGCCAATCAGCTAACCAGTATTTTCGCCCCTTCCCAAAATTACTTCAACGGAAGGTTTCCAGATGGATATGCGGAGCAAATCCAGCTGCGGGATCAGGTTACCAAAACAGTGCATTTAACAGGAAACAGCATTTTGATGTGTTTAAATTTTTAACTTATGACATTTCTGGGGAGCACTCATGTTGACTCGGAGTTAATGCAGATATAGGGTTGGTTTTGACACACTCAGCTTTCCCTTTATTAAAAACGCATTGCAGGACAGTCAGGCTCTATTATCTGATTTTTTGCTCACCCCACCCGATACAGGATTTCTACTTAGGCTTAAAAAAGGAGCATCCAGACTATAAAGATGGGTGCTTGGTGTATATATTATCTAATTTTATGTTCATATGACCTTTTATTTAATCTGTTTGAAAAAAAAAGGTTAACTTGTCAGTAATTACTAAGAAGTTATATTGGATTAAAATCTGAGTTAGAAGGCTAAACAAGTAATGCAATGACCAATTTCTCACTTAAACTCTGCCATACCTTGGTGTTTCTTCAGCTGTCTTGCGAGGCCTTTAATAATAATAATGCAATCAAACTCCTGTTAGAAATAATATAGAAACAAAATTAATTGCCAGAACATATATCACAAAAAACATTGCAATATTTTTTTTTCTACAAAATAAAAAAGAAATCCCAATTTAAAAACAACGTAATAAACATTTTAAATGTTTGAAAATAAAAATGTAAACAAACGGACAAATACAAAATCATAACAAGAGTGTATCTGACTAACAAATAAATCCCTCACATCTATGGTTTCCTTTTCCTCCAGAACCATGCAGATGTCAAGATCACTCCGCCTGAATCCAAAGCCATTTTTGGATGAGCCAAACAGTTGCAGCCGAGCCCCTGTGTAGCAGAAACAGACCAAAGAGAAAATGTAATTTCAACAAACATACAGCTACAATCTGAAAAACTAAGTACCACCGTCATTTAATAGCCTGCAGATCTTTACCATTGTATTAGAGATTATTTTCTTTGTCAGATGACTTGTGGAGGCTATCATGCAGTGTTTGGGATTATTAAGTTTGGACCGAGCTCACACACTAGAGGGGACTTGATTGTCAACTCCATATTTTCTGGCTGCTATATGAGCTCAAATCATCAACAAAACAACACCTGCCTTTCCGTAAGTCACCACTTTGTTATTTTGATTAGCTGCAGTTACATTTACTTAGTGCAGTTTCCTTTATTATTGTAATTTGACCTTTAACTTGAAAACAAAGCCATGCTTGTTACAACCTGGCTCCCACTGGGCAGAAATGACATGGGGAAGTTCGGAGCACAGAAACATAAATGTAGAAATCTTTCTGTTCTGCTTATTAGTGCTGTAAGTACAACTGAAAAATAATTTTGTCAAAAAGAGCGAATTCAATGCAAGTTTTGCAATATTCTATTTTTTTTATGTCATCTCTGAGTGCATGCTTCAAGCTAGGGCTGGGCGATATGACCTCAAATCAATAACACGGTCAATTGGGCATTTTTTACCTTGATAACAATAAATGCATGACAAGTGCTCCATCTCCTCTATCAGAAATAAGAGCATGTGCAGGAAATGCAATTGATCTATTTATAATTTATTTATTGAATTAATCACATAACATATTACTTTTCATTAAATATTAAAGTCTTGTACCCATTCGGGTTTAATCATTCAACAATATCTCATTGCCCATGAGAAAAATGTTACCTCTTCTGCAAACATTTTTGCACAAAGTTAACGGAGCCTTTTGCGCTTGGTTGAACTCAACAGCGTGGCTGTGCTGTAGGTGGTGGAGGATGGATGTGTTACTTTGGGTAGTCCAGACAGTTTTCAGGCAAAATTTGCATTGCAGGTTCTTTTGCTCAACATCTATGGTGTAATTTTGGTGGCACCAAACTGAGCATGCAGTGACAACAATGTGCATCGCTTAAACTCTCACACCCTCGCTCAAAAATGGTCTGCAGCACACTCTAATCTGACAATACGCTCTGAACTTCTCTGCTTGCTCAGTTTCATCTCTGCCCTCGCTCAGCTCTACAGGATTAACTGAAGTAATTTTGTTTTCAGCTGTGTTAGATGTGTCTTCATTGGGCTCATCCGCCATTCTCTTTGTCTACGCATCTGACTAGATAGGTGGAGTCATGTGATTATATACATGCTGCAGTGTCTTAAAGGGGAAGTAAATACCAGTCACCCTTGCACACAGGGAAAACGGCAGAATTAAGTAGTTTATTTCTTTTACCAACATGGGAAAATTGTCACTGTTTATCATAGTGAATGACGGTAGCGGTAACAATCCGGTTTATCGCCCAGCCCTACTTCAAGCTAAAAGCAGGTGATGGGCTTTGAAGTGCTATAGGTCGCAGAAAAAACTAGTCCGTTTAATGATTGTTTTTAGAGACAAACAAATTTTGCCCTGCATGCACTTTTGTTTGTGGACACGTATTCGTGCAAGCATGTGTGGACCTTTGGATTGTTTCATAACCATCTTGAAAGTTGAGGGGGTATAAAAATACAATTTATAGTTTCAGTAAAAAAAAAAAATAATAGAAAAAGTAAAGTGACTTAAAAAAGGATGAGGAAAAAGATCACTTTACCAGGAAACTGTCGTCTCACAAAGCTCTGCAGGTCTTGAAGGATGAGCTCTCTTACACCAGTCTCCTGGTCATCTGGGACAAAATCTCCTAAATAAAAAAAAAACAGGTTTGTTCTTGCCACTTCAAGTGTCTCGGGAGGAAATCTTTTTTAAAACTCTGTAAATATCTCTAATCTCATGTCATAGTTTTTTGGTATTGAAACAAAGTAATATACAAGCACCTTTGTTTTTACTTTCTCCTTTTCTTATGCATTTTAACCTCTCAACATCACAGGTTCTGAGTTAGGCCCATAGAGTAAAGCTCAACAATGTGATATGTTTCCTAACAACTATAAGGTAGCACTCACTGTAACATTGTTCACAGACTCTGTTAAGGACATGAAGAAAGTCTGGTGTTAACAGGGGAAGGGGATCCAGCTCCATCTTTGTGAAATCCTCTGGACAGTCTTTCTTCCGATGTCCATCTCGTTTGCACAAGCTACACACCACCATATGTGACTAGACAAGTATTATTATTAGTAAAAGTCAGATGATGAAGATTTTACCTTATAGATGCTAAAAGTATAAAATGTGATCAAACTTACTTTTCCTTTGGTAAAAGCTTGCTTGGTGAATTTATAAGCCCTTCGGCTCTGCTGTTGGGTTTTATTGTCTGTGCTTTCATTTTCAGTCGTGCTCTGTGAAGGTGAGGCTGAACGCCTGACATGAACCAGTTCATGGTCCTCGTCTGGAGAACCCGGTGTGTCCAAATCTGGGGGTTCCTCATCAGACAGCAGTTCTTCACCTGAGATATCATCGATTGGGAAAATGTCTTCCTCCTCTGTTGTAAAGCTGTCCAGGTGCTGTCGATCACGCCCCTGAAGATCAACATCTAGATCCTCATCCTCCTCGTCTTCTGACAAATGCATTTTGCTAAGGTCTTCCTTTTCCTTCCTTCTCTCTTCATCAGAGTCACTGCATTCCTCCTCTTCTTCAATGATGCAGTCAGAGTCATCAGGGCCATCTTGTGCAGCTTGAGTTTGAATGGCATGCTGGGACTGAAGGGAGAGCTGACTGAACCCAGAGAGGCCGCTTAAAGCCTCAGTGCCGGCTCCCAAGACATGGCCAGGCTTGGCTTCCCCTGCTCTGTGGTTAGCAGCAGACTTATTGAGCGGAAGAGCAAAGTATTTATACGTGGTCTTGAGGCAATGAAGGATGTAGTCAAACATTTGCTGGCTGTTCACAGTCCGGGCCACGTTTCTTTTAACAGCAAACGGGTCTGAAAAACAGAACCATTTTGCAGGATTTAACTACATTACAGTGATAAACCCTCGGCCAAAATGTTCATTTTGAACGTTTGAAAAAAGTAAACAGAGTAGCTGTTAACATAGATGCAAATAGACAAGGAAATACCAAACTTAGTTTCAACAAAGAGCAAAATGTAAGAGGCAAACCGGGTACTTGCAAACTTTTCAGAGCAGAAGCACACTACACTAACCACTATGGCAACACATCCCAAATGAACAATTCGCAAAGGTAATGATAGATTTCAAAAGCTTTAGAATATTAGTTTAACATTTTATAGATCGTCAAACAGAGTAAAGATACCTCAAGTCTTTATTTCTTCTACTTTTACCGAATATCCCCAACAAATTATGAAAAATAATGTAAAATAAGAGTTTTGTACACCTGAATATTATTTAAAAAGTTTTCAAACTTGGAAACTAAGTCCAACAGATTGCTTTTTTTTTTTTTTTTTACCTTTTTTGGAATTAGTCATTTAAAAAGTAATGAAACCTCCTAAAAAGCTGATATACCTGCAAAGGTTTCCTTGAGCCTGCATTAGTCTGGGTCAGTAGGCTATACCATGATCCTGGTAAGGACTTCTGACCTTCACTGAAACTTTGAAAATTTACAGCTCGAAAGATGAACAGGTATGATTTTACCACTAGGTGGCCTGTTGAGCACTGTCTATAGACAAAAAAAACAGCTGTTGCCTCATATATGCATACATACAAAGGGGAAATACACAGCATCACCTTATAGTGGAAAAAATCTATTTAAATTCTAGGCAATTCATAGCTTTATGATCGTGTTAACAAGATAATTCATTTTGGCAAATTACTGTCTGCTGGATTTATGAGCAGAGAGGGGCTAAACAGTGAGTGGCAGCTACTCACAAGGACAGATATGAATGTGTGGACTAGAGAACAAAACAGAGAGATGGTGTATTGCGTAACACCATCTTCTATCTGAAAACATGCCTTTAGTTTTGCACATCATTTTTCAATTCTTTCTATCTGAATATATAAATGATCTCTTCTCTAAGAAGATGGATGTACATGAAGTGTTGTATTCAAGCATAATCAAACAAAGTTACTGTAAGTGGAAGGAAATCCATAATAATACAAAATTCTAATGAAGTAAAGTATCCTTTACATCCCACTTCCCATCTATTGCAGATATATCACATAAAATCAACAATTACACACACTGAAGACTTTGGTAAGACAGTGAACAGGGTTAAAAACTTTAAAGAGCTTCTGACCCTCGATAGCGAAGCGCTTCTTTGGCCAGTCTTTCATCTCTCGAGAAAGGACAGCGGCGGTTCTAACACTGATCACGTTGTCAGCCATGATAAACTCCAGCGAGTAGAAGCGAAGCATTTCTATCCAGAGGAGTCCAACTTCCACCGCTGGACGGGTGCTCTGAAACACCAGCGGCACCTGAAGGCACAGCCCAATTAGACAAGAAAAAGTAATAACTCTGGTTTTCTCAGGATGGTTGCAAAACTTCAATTTCTCACAAATAAAATTTAAGTGACTTTATTATTTTTTTTTTAATGTTTTGATTAGATTTAACTGATTTTGTTTCGATGGATTCGGGACTTATCAGAATTGGACAGTTTTTCAGAAAAAAATAAATTTTAATTAAAAAAAAGTAATCATAAAAACTATTTTAAAGTTAACTAATTGCTCTGATTAAAATCTTTTTTTATTACCTTTCCTTTTATAGTGGCGCTCTCTGCAGGCTGAGAGGATTCTCTGGAGGGAGGGCAGAAGGTCCAGTGCATGTACTCTTCGTCAGTATGTGTGAGATTGAAGTCGGACAACCGACTAAGTGAAAAAACTTTCACCTACAGACAAGGAGATACCAAACTTAGTTTTAACAAAGAGCAAAATGTAAGAGGTAAACCTTGGACTCAGGTTGGATGAATCTCCCACAGGAAATGTGTTTAAAACTCACCCCCTGGTTCAGATACGTAGGCAAGAGAGGCTCTCTACGCTTCTGTAAGTAGAAGATGACCATGAGGGCAAACACATGTGGAGGCAACCCCCCTTCCTCTGGACGGTCAATTTCACAGAGCTAGACAAAAGAGAGAAACTTTATTATAATAATAAAGGTCTGAATGCTGCTTCAAATTTACATCCTGCCTGGCTGATCCAGGATTAACTGAAGACTTACCTGTGCCCAGCGTCTGAGGCCCAAAACCAGAGGGAGGAGGAGATGGTTCATCTTTCCAAGGGCAGACAGGTAAGAGGATGTCTGAAAAGCATTTTCATTCCCAGCACTCACTTTGCAGATTAAACCACTGTTGAGATAAATCATAGTTTTTTTTCCCCAGAAGAAACTCACAACTTTTGTATAAAGGGAAACCTAAAGTATCAAGTGTCAACAATATATGTATAGGATCAGCAAAAACATTCAAACCTAAGAGGAGTAAAAAGCTGCATGAGCTTAAATTGCACCCATTAATATTTTGTTTTAGTAATACCACATTTCCTTAACCTTAAAGCCCTATTCCATAATCAGCTGCTTTGTTTCACTCAAATTTCTACACGATACCCAGAAATGACACAGTAAAAAATTACTGTTTTTGATTTTATATATGAAAAATAAAAAAATTAAAAAAATAAAAGTCAATATAGTTCGGGCAGGGCTTCACCAGGGAAAATTATCCCACACACCAAAGAGATTTAAATAAAACTGTAGTTTATCTTATTTCAATATGTAGTTTACTGCAGATTACTTTTCTATGTTCAACTGTTTAAAAAGGCCAGTGAGGAGTGAAAACTTTAAAGCAAACCAAGCAGAGCTTCAGAAACAAATGCTTAAGAACCACTGGATTAAGTTATTTACACCTCACCTGATCCCATTATATGTACTGACCTCTTTCTTTCTTTACAGATGACCACAGGCACTATGGTATGAAAGTCAGCTTCCACGTCAAGAAAAAGATCTGAAAAAACAACCAAACATATTAGACATTTAAAAATGTTCTGCAGAGTATCAGTCAGAGAGTTTTTATGATTATAGTGGATTTTTTTTTAATGAAAACATAGTTGGTTGGAAGAACAATAGTGTGTGACTTACAGCTCACACTTAGGATCTCCTTTACCTTCATCAAGACATCTGGCTGACGCATCTGGGAAGAAATCCAGATTTTAAAACACATAACATAAATCCAACATAAAACTGATACATCGGCTGGGCAATATTTTGGACCAATATTAGCGTTTTTCTTTCTTGTTCTGACATCTGCCAATACATGCATGTGTTTGCTGATTAGTGCATCAGCAGCCATGCCTTGAGATCACGTAAAGCGCAGGCATTACTGCTCCCTTCACTTCAAATTCATTGTTAATGTTTTGTTAATATTTTTTCTTATTCAAAATAACAATTGTGAAATATTTGCCATCATTTTGTCATGTTTATCATATTAATGGGGGAAGAGAAAGCTTACAGAATCAGCCCCAATCAGCATATTTTTTGAGCATTGGTTTGATTGAGAGCAAAATAAGCTGTACCGGCCGATTAGGCTAGAGCTACAACCCAAGAAGTGAGCATAGAATTTTAATATGGATGGAAATAACAAATCTAGTACATGCTACTACAGACAAGACTCTATCCATACTTTTTAATGAAAACATCAGAGATAATAAGGTATTTAAACTGTCAATCCCACATAGTGCTACTTACATGAGGGGGGTACTGAACGTCAATGTTGACATCAGAATCCTTAAATCCAAACTTTGTGCAAGATGAGCCATACAGCCTGAGCTTTATTTCTACATGGGGAGAACATATGTCAATTGATTAAGGTAGTTTGTATAAAGTAGCAGACAACCCATGACCTAAAAGTAATTAAGGTACTGATTACAGAAACAAAAGTCAGCTTTATCCTCAGAAGATTCACCTGGCAGGACAGATAGCAGAAGTCCTTGCATGGTGAGGACAACCTCCTCTCTTATCAAAACATCCTGGTCTTTCATCCCATGCTCCTGGACAACAGCCTTTAGAGCTTCAGTCACTGCACTGATGTGCTCTGGACCTGGAGGCGTGATCTGAGTTAGCATCTGCTGCTCCTGTTTCTCCTTGTAAAAAAAGAAGAGAAAAGAAGGTTCCAACTACTTTATATAAAGCATAAAATGCCTAGGACTTCCTTACACTTTGTCATACTAGGAAACCAAATATCATTATATTTTATTGGGCAGTGTTCAAACTATTATCAAAATAAACAAGAACAAAAATTATGCAGGGCTGTTACTTGTTATACAATATTGGGGCATCTGAAAAGAGCCTTCTCTGTAGGGTAGCTGGGGACTCCAGCTAGGAGCTTAGTCATCGGGGAGGACAGTTGGTATATCCCCAATCCTTTAGTGATATCAAATATCAGGCCGATATTAGCCAAAAAACTGATATCAAATTTTAGCGAACTGTTAAAAGTTTCTGTAACTCATGTTAATTCTACATGGCTCAGTTGTTTTCATGACTTTTATATTTGACTTTTGTTCCCTGTTTTAGTATGTCACCTGATCAAGCCTATTCTAACATTTTACAGTATAAAATAAGTAGTAAAAGCTGGTATGACTTATGCTAATGTCGCATCGGACAATATCGGTATCAGACAATTCTCAGAGCTGTAAAACTGGTATTCCATTGGAAATTAAATGGTTGGGACACCTCTAGAGAAGAGGAGCTGCTCCTCCACATTAAGAGTGGTTAGTTTAGTTGGCTTGGGCATCTGTTCTGGATGCTCTCTGGCCGCCTCCCTTTGGGCATGGGCAGAGGGAGATATGTGCTTTGAAATGATTTCTTACCCGAGCCCTCTTCTTGTGACGTCTTTCCCCAATGTGTTTCAGAGCACGAGGAATAGACTCCAGAAGACATTCACACAAACTGCAGGTGTAATGCGCAGCAGGATTGCTATGGGAATTCTGAATTAAAACAAAACAAAATTAATTAACGAAGTGTTCTTAAGTGTATTTCAATAAACAGTTCAAACATTGTGACAATCAGTACCTTTCTTACGGGGTGAATACCCTCTCTTTTCAGTCTTCTCTCTGCTGGCCATATGTTTTGGACCTCCTGACCTGAGAATCTGGACTCCTCACTTTCAAGGCCCTTGTACTCTTCAACTAAAGCTCTTTTTTTGTTTCTATTCCTCTGTTTTTTTCCTTCATAGAAAACAATTAACATCATTAATTAGTCATTTATGTATATATCATATATGGTGTCCAGAATACATTACGGTATTTAAGTCACTGCATCATGATTTTTACCACATTAAACAATTTTATTTTGTACTTAATTTCTTTTTTTAGTAGAGACAACACAATAAATGTCACATACAAATAATTTCAGTACTTTCCAAAAAATACCTCACCAGATCTATGGCCGATGATATTGGTGTTTTCACTCCTACAATAGGTTTCATCCTCGTTTGGACTTTGTCCCTGGCCTCTCCTCCTCCAGTGCTGCTGCTGCTGTGAATACCCTCTCCAATCATCCTCTTGACAGATATCACTGTTAACTGTGCAGGGGAACCTCCGGAGGCTGTCTCTCTGAGAGGGGCTTTGGCCACCTCTTAATCCAACGGGGCCCTGGGGTCCTTGTCCCTCCTTCTTGGGGCTTGCCTTGTAGGGGCTACCCTGGTTCTTCTTTCCCTGCTGACCTCCTTCTGACCTGGAGTTATGTCCACAAACCTGGTCTTGCATTTTCCAACTTTCTCCCTTGCCTGCAGCCGTAGCTCCCCTCTCCTTTGTTCCGTGCTTAGTCCTATGGGGTTTGCCTGAATTTTCCATGACTCAATTTTGCTTTAACTGTAGGACGAAATGTAACTGTTACCCAGAATTCACATCTTTTTGTGTTTTGCTGTGCAACCAAAACAATCAGGAATAAACAGGATTTAAATAAAAACTAAAATTCTAACAGTTCTGTATCCATGGAGCTTGATATTTTCTGCCTTGCAAACATTTTGCATCAGCATTTTTTGTAATTTTGAGATTTTTTTTGTGCGTTTTGCTACGTATACATCTGACTTTAACTGATGTCTTTAACCGACTTTTAATAGGGCAAATCAGTACGAACTTTCAAAAGAAAAACTATATACTGTCCCGTTGTAGGAGAAGAATCCTCCCAAATAGCCAGAGATAACTTAAAACAAAATATCCTCTAAAGCAAACAACATAGATTTGGCATTTTTACTCTTTCTCTGTTTGATTTCTGCAAACTAAGCTTTACTTTGAGATATTGGAAAGAATAAATGATTAAAAACAAATCTAATTAAAACAAATCAAACGCAAAATTAAAGCATAAGACTAATACATATTACCAACAAACCATACATTTTAGGTAGCTATTTACAGTTAGATTTATTAGGCAACATGGCTTGACCTACCTGGCTAACTGTGAGTCATTTTCAACCAACTATAAGGTTTTGTTAGCTTAGGTTAAAAGCGTCCGCAATTCCTGGAGTTAAAGCTCACCATGGTGTTACAAACCATGTAACCAACATATAAAAGCAGTTTCCGTCACATTTAGAAAGAGTGTTCACCGAAGCTTAACAGCTAATGCTAACGCTAGCTGCTAATATTTAGCTTGCCACTTACACAGCTAGCCCAAATGCTAACGTTACGGTTTGTTTGTTTTTTCCCCCAGCTGCAGCCGTGATCCATTAAGTGCTTTGTCAAAAGACGGATATAAATGTCCACATTCTTGTTAAAATGTATTTAGTAGGTAAAGACCATACATACTTATCGGGTTGTTGATGTTGTCCTACTGTTGAGTTTGAAAGATGACGTAGAGCAGTGATTCTCAAAAGGGGCTACTGGCACCCCTAGTGGTCGGCGAATGTATTGCAAGGGATGCATGAACATTTAATTAATCAGAAAATAAAATAAAATAGAATAGAGCTGGGATCTGCTCTGCTTTATGAGGAACCAATTAAAAAAATAAAAGAAGCTTTTTTCAACCAAAAAGTACGTTTTTCTTCTATGTTTGAGTTCACTTTCAGCTTTGGCACACATCAAAACCAAGGAGGGGAACAGACTGGGCATAAAGAACAGCCTGGTATCAGCTGTTTTCCCACATCTGAGCTCATCAAAACAAGCTGAGGTGTCATAAATGTTGAAAGCAAAGTTACACAAATTGTATGAGTCTGACTATAATTTTTTGTTTAGTAGTTTGTCCCCAATTCCTCATAATTATGTGTGATTACAGGGGAGTTATTCAGAGGAGCTCAGCGTTATAAAGGTAGATTCATGGTATGATTTTATTTATTTTAATTCCTTACTAGCTTCCAGGCAACATATTTGTATTGTTTTTTATTTGAGTACAAAAGAATACAATTCCAAAGAATGAAATTATCAATTTAATAAGAAAATACTTAAAAACATAAAAATAAATAAAATACTTTTTTATTTTATATTTAGTTGTTGTACATTCTAATTCTTGGCAGTCATCAATATTTTTGACTTTTTCTTTGAATTAAAGAATTAACCCAAGGAACAGAAAAATAAATTAAGAAGCGTTCTCAGTGCGCTATATCAAAATGAATGGTGAAATAAAAATATTAATCTGTTAGAATTCATTCGTAAAATAAATTAGAGCAGCAAACTATAAAAACCTTATTTATTTCAGCATTGCCATGAAATCAAATGAATGTCCAGAGAAAATGGTTAAAATAATCTAATTGAAAATCTGAAGTAAATCTGAAGTAAAATAGGAAAACGATAAAGAGAAGTTTAAGGAAAACTGAAGTCAAAATCATATAAAATTAATTAATTACGAAAGAAACATAATTACGAGAAAAGTTCAAGGTAAAAAAAAATGAAATAAATGGTTCTTGTGTAAAAGGATAAAATATTCAATTACACTGTGGCAATATATCCAAAAGAACATCATATTAGGTTTAGTTTCAGGGTTAGGGCATAGTAATGACTGAAAATCAGTTGAGGTCAATGGGACACATGGTTCTCACTACATATAGCAGAACAAACATGTATGCGAGTGTTTGAATATATAGACCACTTACTATAGTCACAAAGATTATTAATATAATTTCTCATAACATAAGTAGACCTATAACCAACTTAACACATGTGGTTAAATATGTGTCTTCATTATGGATTTTTTTTTTTTTTTTTTTTTTTTTTTTTTATCTGTTTTGTCCATTTAAATATGCCTGACATCAACAGCTGCCAAAATCACCATCTGGGTCTATCTGCAGGGGATGGTGCGACCCCGGTTGCCATAGCAATGAGGTGAAAGCCGGTGGCAGGAGCGGGGAATATCCCGGGAAATGTGACGTCACCATGCGGCAGCACTCTTCCTCGCTCACCCACTCTGTAGGCAAAAAGCCCTCAAAGACTAACGGGAAGTGTAGGCATGGTCTCATTTGGGACGGACGGATCTTTTTCTAAAAGAAGACTCACACCGCCTCAGCAGACCGGTCGGCACAGAAAACAGAGATTTCTGACCAAAATGGGTGACTCTGGATTCGAGGACGATCTGGTTTCCTCTCTCATCGCTCACCGTTCACGCAAAAATGCGCCCCACCTGGGGTCAGAGGAGCCAGAGTCAGCTGATGGAGAGCTGTCCAACTGGTACCTTCAGTATGGAGATGTCGGTTTCAGGATCCAGAGGGAGAAAGAGTTGCAGTTTCATCCCTGTCAAAGCCTGGCACGTCAACCACAAGTAGGCTACAAGAAATATAGCCAGATTAATGCAAATTAAGAAAAAAATATTTCTGATTTAGTTTTTTTTTTTTTTTTTTTTTTTTTTTGCACACTTGCCATAAAATGCAACAGCACTACAACTTGGCTTCATGTTTTGTTTTGTTACAGCAGCAAAAATGTAAGCAGCTAAAAATAATAATTAAGAAACAACTCTTTGAAAATCGGTTAGAGGTAGCAATGCTGTGAAAAAAGTTTTTAATCTCTTTCACAATTATTGTATTTTTGCTTTACACTGTAATGTCACCACATCTTATTATTGTCAGCCATAGAATCCTTTAAATAGAACCTGTGACAACATCAAGATGAGGAAAATATCCAAACGGCAAAAATATCATATATCAATCTTGAAAAGATTATAAACTTTTAAGGCTTTTGCAGGGTAACAACCCAGAAGCCACAGAGAAAAGGATGGAGAAGCTTCTCTGATTAAAATTAATGCACCCAGTTATATCTGGTTGAACCTAACACAATATCTAGGGCAGGAAAAAAGGTAACTTTAAAACAGGGTTTTAAAGTGAGATGGTCTGGGAATGTTGCGGTTCTTTATAACCTGTATGATTCGCAGTCATTCACATTATTATGAAGGCAGATTTGTTAGGAGATTTGTTAGTTTTTTTTTGTTCCTAAACAGAACCATGTTGATTAGGACCACTTTCCGCCTTATGAAATCTTAATTTAGTGCATTGTGGATCTACTTTATCTGATATTAAAATAGGCTTAATCTAGAAACTTTTATCTTTAAAAAATTGCAAAAAAAGATTTTTTTTAATTCAGTGTACAATTTATGTCTGATGGCTAATGGTTGTTTGTTCTGCTTGCAGCTGACTGCAGATGCACGCTGTAAGCTGGTCAGCTGGCTCATCCCTGTCCATAAACACTTCCGTCTGTCCTTTGAGTGCTGCTGCCTGACTGTGAACATCGTGGACAGATTCCTGGCATCCACTCCAGTGGCTACAGACTGCTTCCAACTCCTGGGTGTCACTGCACTCCTGTTAGCCTGTAAACAGGTCTGTCTTCAGCCATATTTTTCAGAGGCAGATCCCTCTGACTTTATTCAGATTTCCCCCTCTCTATTTTCCCCCTGTAGGTGGAGGTGCGCTCTCCTTCGGTCAGCTATCTCCTGTCCTTGTGCTGTGATGCATTCACTAAGGAGCAGTTCTGCAATCTTGAGTGCCTTGTCCTCCTCCGCCTTAACTTTCGCCTTACTGTGCCCACCTTGGCTTTTTTTCTTGACTATTTCAGCAACCTTGTAGAAGATGCCCAGCATGTGATTAAAAACAACAGCATTGATACGTTTTCAGAGGTGGGTTCAGAGATAGCAAAGATCAGAAATTGCAGTGAACTTGCAGAAAAAATCTGCGAGTTAACTCTAGCAGACTACGCTTTCAATAAATACCCACCATCTCTAACTGCTTGCTGCGCCCTGAGACTTGCATGTCGATTACTGAAAACCGAACACCGTTTTACTGAGCAGGCAGCTGTAGAGATGGAGGAAGACCAATGGGAGTGTTTCACACATCTATGTACTCAGTCAGTTTGCATCCGGCCATGTGAAAACCCTGTTTTTACCCCTGGGGAGTGTTTGAGAGTGGAAGAGTCTGCAGGTCAGGACTACAGCCTGGTGCAGGAATGTAAAGAAAACCTAAAGCTACTGGTGTCACTGAATCAGGAAACTCTAAAAGTGATGCCAATGATGTAACACGTCACCTTTTAGATAATAATAATAATAAAAAAAAACATTTTTAGCAATAATGTTTTAGATTATTTGTATTTATTCAAACATTAATTGTCTAAATACCTCATGAACAGTCACGTTTTTAAATGCTAAAGGTGTACTTGATATTATATTTGTATTTATTTGTATAACTATTATTTTGTCTGTGTTAATCATTATGTAGCATCTTAAATAAAGGATCTGAAACATTTGTATGTTTATTTATTGTTTATGTAATAAAATATATGAAAAATCCTTTTCTTTTTTTTGCTTTTACTTTGTTGGGGAGGAACAGTGATCTACACATTAGGGTGCAGAATCTGTTGACATGATAACCGTACTCATACAGTCAAGCATTTATGTGAGTGAGAAAACAAAAGTACAGTACTTGTTGAGAAAAGCTATAAGAAGTCCTATGCAATCTTTTTTTCACAAGTGAGGGATACATCAAAAAGTTTAAGTAAGGTGCTCTGATCAGATGAGACTAAAGCAGATTATAAATACACCAAAAGAAGAGAAAAATCTATAAAATGCATGAACAAAACATATCCCACTATTTAAAGAGGTATAAATAAAATTAGTTTTTGAACAGAAATGCTAAAATGATCCGCCTTATGTAAGACATAAGACCATTATACAGTTTAGGACCAGCTATGGAGAAGGCTGAGCCTCATATAGGTTACGGCTAGTTCTCTATACTGAAAAATCAGTGAATACTCAGCTTCTTCAGAGGAAGAGGTGGAAAGAAGAACTGTAAAAGTTTAGAGATGTTGAGTAGGGATGGCCATTTTAAGATAAGAAAAATCTCAAGACTTGAAATAAAAAAATGAATCTTCAAATGGATCCTAGACAGGAAGCCAGAGAAATTACTTCAAAAATGTGCTCATACCTGCTTAAACTCAGTTAAGCAATGTGCAGCAGCATTTTGCAACATCTACATATAAATGTGTGATTATGTACAATAACCAAAATGAAGTGTATTATAATCCAGCTGCGTTTATACAGAGGCATAGATTGCTGTATCAAAATGCTCTTTTTTGCTTAGGCTCTATATTTGGAGCAAACGTGAACTTGGCTTATAATACATGTAAGTGGCAGAAAAATATGATGTGAAGAGCCCAATGCTAATGTGGGCTGGAAGAAGCTATACAGAGTGATAAATGCTGCATAACACTTGACTTTGAGATGGAGGACCAGAGCAACAATAATGCAATTTCAAATTAAAACCCACTATCCTAATCATAGTTCAGATCTATAAAAAATAAAATAAAACAAAATTTGCTGTTCACAGATGCTTTCCATCCAGTCTAACAAATCTCAGGCCAGTTAACAAAAAAGAAAAGGACAAAGTTTTAAGTCTGAAATTATAATGAAACAAAATATTTTTAGACATATAGAATCACATGTAGTTTTTGCTTCTATGTTATAATCACGTTTAATTTCATTAAAATATACCCAAATGTTTATGATATTTGAAAAAGATAATGGGGTTATGAATATTTCCCAGGTAAATTGTCACAAAGTTAGGAAGTTATGCCATGGTGATGGCTTCCCTGCTATGGGTTGCAATGATACTTTGCTAAAATAAAGCAGAAAATCAAACCTGTAACATATTAAGTCTGTTCAACATTTAAACAATATATTACACCTGAAGACCAGTGGATATAAGTGGTGGATGTACTTTCCAACCCAATGAAGAAGAGAACAAAAAAAAAAACTTAAATTGGTTTTCAAGGTTTTTAGTTTACTGGAAGTGTACAATTAATTGTCAAATAATAATAATAAAAATAAATAAATAAAAGAAACTACTAACAAAAGTTTTAAAAAGAGCCCTGACACTCTTGTGAACTAACTCCGCATGACCAGCCCAATATAAACGTTAGAAACCACTCAAGATTTAAAGAGCCATGCAATAAAAGCCTTGCTTTTAACCGGAGGATAAATACTTTTCTAAAAGTAGTGATTCCTGCTGCTTTTGTTGCCTGAAGGTCGACACGTCATGGTTTTTGTTAGCTGCAGTATTTGGAGACAAACTGTGCCAACACAGCGCAGGCAATTTCGCGACTTTATCTGATAATCCATTACGCGTGGCAGCTCGGCCACACAGGTGTATTCAGTACCATAAGCACCAATTGACATCCCTCTGTTTGTTTACTAATTGAGGCATTTATCACGAATGTTTACTGAACTGTCTGCTAGTGCCGTTTTTTTTTTCTCTTCCTATTCCAACTTGCTTTTAGGGCGAAAGGGGCTTTAGAAATAGGGCCATCAAAAATATTTTACGCAAGTGAATTAAAATTTTGCACGAAACGCAAACACGAATGACCTGAATTCAATAAAGATATTATAAAATGTTAAAAAGTCATACATGTATGGTAGACTATCATTCGCGGTGCTTGGGATGGATGTCAGACGGAAAAAAATACGCGCCTCGGTGCGCACCTGCTGGCTCTACGATGGCGCCCTTCTGCGCGGCACCTTTTCCCCAATTTTTGTACAGAAAAACCTTGAGCGCTAATTTCATCTCTGAGGACGCCGACACTCCCTAGAGACCGAATGAGTGGATTTGATTGGGCCTGGAGTGAAAAACCGCGGCACAGAGATGAGACAAACCGGGAGAAAGTTGATTATATCAGCTACAGATTTCAATCATGTTCCTGTCTGTTTCTGAGGGATGGAGCTGATGATGGAGACGCAGAAAGAAACTAATACAAATGGTGCTGCTTGGCCTTACAGACTAGGACAGCGTGGGAGGAGAATAACTGTAAGCAAAGCTCTTTTTACAAATAATGCAGTAATAAATGAAATATTTTATAATAACTGTTATTCCTGCAGGATAAAACCCCAGTGCCAAGAAGCAGCAGTCCTGTAGACCTTTATGTTGAGTTTCCCTGCATTGCTGACCAAGGTAATCTCTGATAGTTGCAGAACCTTAAATAACATTTACAGACTTTTTCACACCGTAGTTACTTTTCCAGCTCTTGCAACAATCGAATGGGAAGATCTGGAGGACTGTGCCTCTGCAGGGAGGCAGGAGAGAAACTCATTCAGCTTTCAGGTAAAAAAAAAAAACATAAATAAAAACTAGTGATTTTCAGCTGATTTTAATATTTGCCAACTCTTGGTTAGGCTTTTTAAATCATGAAATACTGATAGAACAGATGTATTAGGGATGCTGGTCCATTCCCCCCTCTCTCTGTTAATGTTTGACACATGCGTGTTGGAATCCTACACAAATGGCACTGTTTACTCATGACAGGCAGGCTAAGCACTAGTACCTGCACCTGACGTTTTATTTTTCACATTCTGCACAACATTACACAACTGACATGACCCCCGACTTTCACTTTTGGAGCTCTGCTTTGACATGGAGGGATTTTCCGGTACAACTGTTTTAGATTCTTTATGGATTCTCCAAATCACATTTTCTGAATTAACAGCTTTGCTGTATTTGCTCACAGGTGAACGGGTCTGATCCAGATGAGCAGCATTATAGAGATGCACTGGACTTCATTGCAGGTAAGTTCTGACAGTAGGAAAACTTCTGCTGTAATCATCCTTCCTCCTAAGAACTCTGGGTCATTGATCTGGCTGCTCTCTCAGATTCCAGTGAAATGGGAGAAAGCTGCCTGTCTGAACTTATCCCGTTTCAGGGATGTGTTATACCTCCTCTAACCCCTCAGAGAGATTTCTCTCCAGAAGAGCACATGGTTCACTCCTTGACAAAATCAACTCAGAATGGAATTTCATGGAGGGGTATTGCTGAGTGCCATGGGAGTGCACTGGAGGACTCCATGGCCATCAACAAACAGGTAATTCCTATTTCAATTGATATCAGCACAATTTAATTTACCTCCAGTTAAGTTAAGACAGGACAAAGTAGATTTTGTTAATAATGTCCTTTTTCATGGATGCGTTATGCATCCCTGAAATGTATAACACACCACTGAATGAATATTTAAACAATCTATAGCTAATGCATCTGAAAAAAATCATCGTGAGTATTATGTGCACTCTCAATTGTTTTTCGACTGCAACATTTTTTCGTGCAAAGAGACAACTTTAAAAATATTTATGACACACTCGAGGTATTTAAGAGGTTGTTTAGTTTTTGAAAGCTCAATTGGGAGTGATTCATAAAATTCTGTGTGTGGATTTAACAGGACAGCATGGTATATAATTAAAAGTTTCAACCAAAGCACAAGAAGAAATGACAGAGTAACAAGCAGGGTATAGAATCCAGAGAGGAGCTTTTAATCTAGAGGGAAGTGTGGAAAGAAATCATAAAAAGCCAATTAGAGAAATCTGTTGATAATGTAGAAGAGAGAACACCAGATGAGGACAAGAAATTATGATACAATGGAGTGGACTATATTAGCAACAATTAGAGAAAACAAGGAAATATTGAAAATAAGAAAATAAAAAAACAAAACCCAAGAGACTATGACCTAAAAATCTTGAGGTTTATGTACCAGATTATTAATCAGTTTTATCGGGATTTAGTAAATAAAAGGATTATGTAAGATGGGCATATGATGCTCATTATATAGCCTGAAGACTTATAAACTGAGCTGAATTGAAATCGTATCAGATCACAACTTGTGACATCGGGAAACATCAGATTGTCATCCAAACTGATATCATATAGATAAAGCTGGTGATTTAAACCCCTAACAATTACATAGCCTTAAACTGCTTCGGGGAAAAAAAAAGAATTGAAAATGGTTTTATACGGCTTTCTTGTCCATTTATATTGAATGCTTTGTAAGGTGTAACTTTTTAATTCAATGAAAAAGCAGAAACACATCAGTTAATGAACAAGCTAACTTTATAGGTAACAACAAATTTTAAGATAGCTTTTTTTCAGTTTTACAAGAAATCCCCCAAACCCCCACCTGCAGGTCTAAGGCCTCCTTATAGGTCCTAGTGCCAGCTCTGAACCCATTTGCTTTGAGGATCAATTAATCAGGTGCCCATCAAAGATGGCATCATGCAAATTTAAAAAAAGAAGTGTTGGTAATGTCACAATGGAATGAAGAGATGGTGTAGCTGATAATATTGTTTAATATTTGTCTGCAGCTCCAGGAGACTCTTGACAGGCGACAGAAAGAACTGGACTCCCTTGAGGAAAGAAACCTGGATCTCAAGCAACTGGCGAGTCGAGCAAAGCACCTTGCCTCAGTTCTTGAAGTGAGTAAAAAGCAAGGTCAAAAACCAACTCAGGGTTTGTTTCTATCACAGGAACATTTTTATTTACCAGGGGAGGTTTGGAAGCCTGTTTCCTTCTTCTGCAGAGATAATGCAGGATCATTTCAGATAAACACAGACTGAAATATGACATGAAAAGGTTCCTACAGTAGAAGTTGGACTTTTTGGACTGACTCTAACTAAAGGTGAAGTGTTATTGAAGAATGCTAACAATTTCTCATTGGCTGATTACTCACAGTACTTTGTCTTTTAAGATATATATATATATATATTCAAATTGGCTTTAATTATTAAAGTTCTGTATCTCCTCCTAAGTTAAAATGGCTTTTTAGATTTTAGGATTTCACTACTTTGACTTGACTAAAACATAAGTTACAGCTGAAGGTAATCCTGATCAAAATCTACACTTTCTTGTCTACCAGCTGGCATTGTTGAGGTTAACTTAAAATCCACTCTACTGATTATTTTCCTCAAAGATAAGAGAGGCTATGAACAATCAGAAGTCTGATTTCACCATTTTAGATCACTTTCAGAGCTTCGCTGTTGCAGTGGGCAGTACTTAGCGATGTCAAATCACAGTAGCATAACCTGCAGGAGGAGGAGCTGCTTCGGGTTTTGGCAGCTAACCTCACAATAAAAACACAACCACAAAATGGATAGAGAAAGTTAATTGTTGAAAGTAACTTTTTGATGTTGCGTTTTCAGGAAGATTAAATAAAAGTTCTTCTGATCGTTTTGTTTCCAATAGAGACTGATGACAGTCAGAGATTCTCATGCTGAAGAGCTGGCGTTGCCGTGTGGTGAGAACACCTCTCTGAGTCCCTGCAAGAGGCAGCGCCTGGATGAAGGTTATGAAACAGAGTCTTCTGACTCAGTGGAGGACATGCTGAAGGACATCAGCACGCGCTGTAATGCTGTCCTGCTCAGCAGCACTGCAGGAGCACTGCAGGAGTCAGACACAATACCCATGTACGGTGCATTCTCAAGCTTCCAGATGTCCACACCTAAGGGCAGAACTGTGAATGTTGATGTCGTGGAGGATGCAGAAGATATCTCATCTTTCAGAACCCCCGTCAGAGAACACTGCACCATTCGGACTCAGGTGTTTCCTCATGGGCATGTGTTTACTTCAAGGACTCATCAGGGGGGGTACCGCTTCCGCTGGGTCCCCAACCACTGCTGAATTTAGAGACTGACACAAGGGTTGTCAAAATGAATGTGCCATGGATCTGATGGAGAATGGAGAAAGGTTTGGAAAGGCAGGCGCTGTTAATGATTAACTCCTTATCTATAGGGATATCAGTGAATGATTAAATGATGTCTTCCTCAGGTAGCCTGTTAGCCGATCCATCAAAAGTGTTGCTTTAAGGAAATAAGACTGCCCTCTCTGCTGTTTACATTTTGTTTGTGTTTAACCCCTTTAGGTCTGCCTGATTTAGCATTTCTTTTCAGGGTTCCTGGAATTTTTTTTGCCTTACGAGCATGGAAATAAAAATGTTTTGAACTTTGAAAATGATTTTTTTCTCATTTCAACACACACACACACACACACGAACACACACAAGATACATGGTAATTAAGGCTGTTAAATATACATATGAAAATGTAAACGAAGGGAAATCATAACTTGTTCTCACAATTACTTTGATTTATTTTGGTATGCATAGCAACAAAATAAAAAAAAAAAACAACTCCAAAACTATATTTTTCAATCGCTAAATAATAACTTAGGGTATTGAACGCAATGTGTTTGATGCAAAGTTAAGAGCACCAAGTTTTAAATGCAATTGTAATAAGGACTTTATAGATGCAAACCTGAGTATTCTAAACAAAATTTTGTCTTCTCTGCATGGTGACCCGTGGAAAGTAAAATAAATTATAAAAATACTTTTAGCAAAAAATAAATAAAAATTCAAACTTAACTTTTGTCCAGTCTTTTAAATTTTTTTTGTATCCCAGGGTCTGCTTTCCTAACTTGGAAAAAGTGACAAAATTAAGCTTTATAAAGCTTTTTTTCCATTTGTATAATAACATCAAACAGTTTTTGCAGATTTATCAGCTCGAAATACAAAATATAAATCTCCAGCACATTCATTAGGTTCTTTGTTGATTTGTGACTGGGTGTTGACCTTGGAGACCTTTTCAATCCATTGAGCACATTGTAATGTTAAAGTTAATCCTTTAAGATGTTTTGAATCTGGAGATAATGTACATTAACCTGGTGAATAAAGGCCTTAGAAAATTGGTACTCTGTGGTTATGAAGGGGTCAGCATAGACCGTAATAACACTCAGGTAGGCTGATTAAACACTTTACTCTATAAAAGGGGCAAAATGTTGGGCAAGGAAAAAGCCTGTGGAAGAAATTTGTCACCCCATAGTGCATTTCATGCTCAGTTTGAAATCTAGAAAGACATCTTTTCAAAATCTAGGTAGTCTGTCAAATCATCAAATCTAAATCAGCTGATTTGATGCAATGCGATTTGCTAATTTTCTATTTGTGCTAACAAGTAATTAAACAAGTAGATTTTGTTCATTGCTTAACTACACAGTTTCATTATAAGGGTTTAATTCAGCGCAGTTTTCATGTTTAGCTCATTGATACTATGGTCATTTCTGTAGGTGTTGGTAGTTTTCACAGATTAGGCACATCAAGTCCTGCACTCCCTGCACTAGGAGCAACAGTTTAGTCATTTTTTCCTTATTCCAGGTAAAATGTTTTTAAGTTTTTTTTCTTGCTATGTGTAACAGTTGTGGCATATTTCCTAGTAGTTGTATGAGTGGATGCTCTGACTCCATCAGGAGTCCATGTCTTGT